GAGTAAACTTGAAAGTATATCTTTCTCCAGTTGATACTTCAGATAAGAACAGAGACACTGAGCTGATACTCTGAAGCACGGGGAGAGACCATGAAGCAAAGGGTTCAGTTCAGCTGGGTCTATATTCCTGACCCCTAGAAACTGTGAGATAATAAATGTGTGTGGTTTTAAGCCACTAAGTTTTGGGATAATTTGCTATGTAGCAATAGGTAACTAATGCTTAAACTAATAACTTAGATTCAATGGAGTAATAAAAAATACCCAATATAGAAGAAAACAGAAAAAGAGAACCAAAAGAGACAGAATCAATAGAAAATAGCTACCTAGGTGACAGACTTGAATCCAACCATATCAATAATGGTATTTACTGTAGTCTAAACACGCCAATTAGAAGACAAAACTTACCAAATTGGATTTTAAAAACTATAGGCTTTCTACAAGAAATAGACCTTAAATATAAGCACAGACATGTTAGAAGTAATAGCATGGAGAAGGATATACCAGGCAAGTGCCTACCAAAAGAAGACTAGCATAGCTATGTTAATGTCAAAGTAGACTTCAGAACAAGGATTATTACCAAGAATATAAAAAGACATTACCTAATGATAAAGTTGTCAATTTCTCCTTTACCATAGGTCAAACCATTCTAAATGTGTATACACCTAATAACATTGCATGAGAACAGCATTACCTTGATACTAAAACAAGACAAAAATTACAAAAAAAAGGAAAACTATAAACCAGTATCTTTCATGAATATAAAGGCAAAAATCTTCAACAGAATAATAAGTCAATTCCGATAATACATTAATAATGTATATATTACATCACAACCAAGCAGGGTTTATTTCAGGAATGCAAGGCTTGCTCAGAGTTTTATAATCAACCAATGTAATTCACTTTATTAGAGCTTCATGCACTTCTCCCAAGCCCCACCTCCTCCTTAAATCCTGGAAACCACTGATCTGTTCTTATTTTCTATAATTTTCCCATAGAACAATACAGTACGTAACCTTTTGTGATTGGCCTTTTTTTTACTCAGCACAATTCTCTGGAGACTCATTCAGGTTGTTGTGCATATCAATAGTTTGCTTCTTTTCATTGCTGAGTAGTATTCCATGGTATGGAGACACCAGTTTGTTTAATTATTCATCCACTGAAGGGCATCTGAGTTGTTTTCAATTCTTGGCTCTTATAAATAAAATGCTATAAGTATCATGTATTTTTATTTGATGAAATCAGACCAATCCAGTTTGAACCCTTTGCTTAATTCTATGTCATTAAGACTTTCTCCTATGTTTTCTTCTAAACATTTTATGGTTTTACATTTTATATTTACATGTATGATCCATTTTGATTATTTTTTTACATAAGGTGTAAGGTTTGGGTACAGGTTCATATTTTTGCACATGAATATCCAATTGTTTCAGCACTATTTATTGAAAAGACTACTTTTCTTCACTGAATTGCCTTTGTACTTTTTCTTTATAAAATATCGAGACTTATGCTTCTGGCAAAATAGATATACTTTTCCCTATTCCTACCACTAAAACCTTGGATATTATATATATAACCTTGGATATTATATATATAACAAACATAAGAAGACTCTGAAAGGTGTGAAGAAGACAGATCAGCTAAGAACCTGAGTACCCAAGAAGCCAGCAACCTGGAAATGCCAATGGGCACAAACAAAAAATTCCCAATAAAAGCCTGCTCCACCTGAAAAAAAATAGCCTAGAAAGACAGAAAATTTTAATAACGTCTCTTCTCCAGCCAAACACCACAGAAAAAAAACTGGATCCCAAATAACACCCATGGCAGCAAAGGCTGAGTGGAGACTTCAGACTTCCACCCTTCCCCTGAATTGAAATGCCCCCTCATAACCCAATGGGGTTATGTCAGAAAAGGCCAAGTAGGGAGCCAGAATTTTCAACCCCACTGGCAAGTAATGAGTCTTCTCTTTCTTCCCACACTCCCTTACTCCCCGCTTTCCATTGTTGACACAGTGTCAATGGACATCACATGAGCAGCAGGAAGGCAGGAAAAAGAAAACAGAGAAAAGAAGAAACAGAAAACATAAAATAAAATAGAAGAGTTAAACCCTCATATATCAAGAACTACCTTAAATATAAATGGTATGCGGTGCCTGGATGGCTCAGTCGGTTGAGTATCCAACACATGATTTCTGCTCGGGTCATGATCCCAGGGTCGTGGAATCTGCACTGAATGAGGAATCTGCTTAAGATTTTTTTTTTCTCTCTCTCTCCCTCTGCCTCTCCCCTGCTGTCTCTCTCTCTAATTAAAAAAAAAAATTAAAAAATATAAATGGTATAAATATATCAATTAAAAGACAGAGATTGGCTGAGTGGGTTAAAAAACATGACCCAACTATATGCTGTGTATAAACATTTCAAATATAATGAAGGATATAGGCAAGTTGAAAGTCAAAGGCTAGAAAAAGATGTATTAATTAAAACAAGGCAGAAGTGGGGCGCCTGGGTGGCGCAGTCGGTTAAGCGTCCGACTTCAGCCAGGTCACGATCTCGCGATCCGTGAGTTCGAGCCCCGCGTCGGGCTCTGGGCTGATGGCTCAGAGCCTGGAGCCTGTTTCCGATTCTGTGTCTCCCTCTCTCTCTGCCCCTCCCCCGTTCATGCTCTGTCTCTCTGTGTCCCCAAAATAAATAAACGTTGAAAAAAAAATAAATAAAATAAAACAAGGCAGAAGTAATTATATTAAGATCCTATAAAGTAGACTTAAGAGTAAAGAAAATTACCAGACACAGGGAGGAACATTAATTATGTAATGATAAAGGGTCAATTCACAAAGAACACAGAGCAATACTAAATATGTTTGCACCAAGTAATATACAAAATATGTAAAGAAAAACTGATAGAACATAAAGCATAGACAAATACAAAATTAAATAAAAAGTGAAAATGCGACATACAAAACCCTGTGGGACATAGTTAAAGCCGTGCTGAGAGGAAAAATTATGACACTAAATGCATACATTAGAAAAGGGGAAATGTCTCAAATCAGTAATCTAAGCCCCCAATTTAAGAATCTACAAAAAATAAAAAATAAGCCCAAAGCAGGCAGAGGAAAAAAATAATTGAAATTAAAGAAATCGATCAAGTTCCTGGGCAGCCAGTGATGACAGGTGGCTGACACCAACTGGTCATGATTCTGTCTACTTAGTTGGTCAGTGTCTCTTCAGCAGTGGATACTTTCCCATGAGCACTGGCAAGTGATACAAAAAATTCACACTTTGTGCCCCTTCCCGTATGTCCATCCACATGCCTCTGTATCAGATCTTTTTGTCTCCAATATTCCAGTCCTTCCTATCACGCCCCAGATCAGATGACCAGGTCATCGATAGATTCATATGGATTCTCGCCTTGAACCACCCCACCTATCACACAAAGTGGATAGCCATTTGTGCAGCTCACAACCCTGCCCTTTTCCCTTTCCAGTATCTTTCAGGGCCACTCTGGAACATGGCTATAGTACTAACACCATGTATATTGACTTGTACCCACAATGGAAAAATCCATTCGTAAGCCAAAGCTCAGACTTTTCCTCCTCTTTTATCTGGTTGTATGGGACCGCTTATATGGCCACAGGTGCAAGCAGAGGGAAGGGAACTAGTACAACTGATGTCGGTGACATGAGGATTGGACTATCTGCTCACACAGCCTGCTGCTTGTGCTGTCTGGCCCCACTTAGGGACTTTCTGCTGGGAAGTCTTCCTTCGCAGATGTGCTATTTCCATTCTGTGAGTCTGCTGCTGGTTTTTGTTTGTTTGTTTTTGTTTTTTGCCTCATGGCCAAGCGATTTGTTTCTACCAAAGCCTCAAACATGTTAAAGCTATCTCTCAAATGGCATTTAATTTTATGCTGTGGACAGTACGACCTTGATTTATAATTCCACTATGGGGCCCCTTTGGTTGGCTTTTCATAAGCTTCATACTACATCTTTTCCCACTAATGATATCCCCAACACCAAAGGGTCTTCCAAATCATATAATTCAAGGAGCAGGACTGCTTATTTCCGGGGCTGGACCTACTGCAAAGCCCCTTCCTGAACTGGGTCCCACTCAAAGTTGGCAACCTTCTGTGTCAGCTAATAGACGGGCCTGGTCAATATTTCTAGGTGAGGAACGTACTGCCTTTAGAACCAAAGAGGTCTACCACGCACGTGCTTCAATTTTTGTGGCAAGAAATTCAGGATGGATGTGGAATTTTTTTTTTTTATGTTTATTTATTTTTGAGCGAGAAAGAGGCAGAGAGACAGAGAGAGACACAGAGCACAGTGGGGGAGGGGCAGAGAGAGAGGGAGACAGAGGATCCGGAAGCAGCTTCCGGGCTCTGTCTGAGCTGTCGGCACAGAGGCCAACGCAGGGCTTGAAAGCATGAACTGCGAGATCATGACCTGAGCCAACGTCAGACCTTAACCAACTGAGTCATCCAGGACCCCCATATGGGATTTTTTTGTCTTGTTTTGTTTTGTTTTATTTGTTTTTGTCACAGGCAAACTCTTTTTGTCTTTTCCTCCTAAGTTTTCAGTTCCATATAGGCCTTTAAAACAATGCAGGGAAAGAGACTGCATCAACAAAAAGCAGATAAAATGATCTACGTAACAGCTGATTACTACTTAATACTGAGTAGAAAATAATGGTTCTTCACGGAGAAACATTTCTGAATTATTTTCAGAATTCTAAATCTCTCACTTATTGACTGAAAAAAAAAAATGAATGTATCTATTAGTTAGGGGCCTGAAAAGGAGAAGAATGTTTCCTTTGATCTTTGCCCCAAAATTATCCTAAAATACTCCATATTACGATTTAGAATTTGCATAAATTTTCTAACTTTCCTTAGGATGAAAAGATGGCTTAAATAACCATTAGTTTTAACACCGAAAATAATTGTCACTATGTAAATTGTAGGTTTTTATCATCAGACAATTGGGAAATTTAGAAGAAGAAAGCCAGAAACAATTTAAATGAATCGAAGTTTAATTTAAAGCAGTTATATCATAATGAGGGATGAATAAAGTGGTGGTTTGCAGACACATTCATTAAAGGGAAACATTGGTAAATATAAATGCCTGTGAGTGTATTGCTATGTCAATTTAAATTTTATGTATAAGATTAATTTAAAGGAATACAGAATAAGTACTAATTCCCACTTGAAAAACACTTGCATAACACTTGTGTGCATACAACCATATTTAATTTGTAAAGAAATACTATTAATTTATAAAGAAGGTAGTTTTTCTATTCAAATATTAAAGTCCCAATACCAACAAAACACACCAAAATTAACATATAATTATGATTCAATTTAAAGTTCCATCTTTAAACTCTTCACAATCTTCTTTGGTAAACGGATCCAAAGATAGGTTAATCCTAAATAAAAGATGACAAAAGCGATTCTCGTTACTATAAAACGGTTAATAGTCACTGAAATATTTTAACTTTTCTAACATTGCAAAGCAACAGTTAGCCATTCTCTGTATTCACTGTTTTGGTAACTTTTACTTCCAGATTTTTCTTCTCCGTTCCAGCACCGGCCAATACTGTTGACGACTTCAACAGCCCCAGTTACAGAAAGTGTGTCACAAAAGCTGTGTCACCAAGGCCTTAACCTCCAGGCCACTTCAAGGCACTCACAAGACAGGGTACCACTTGGGCAATGTCATCATTTGGCACTTGTGCCTTACTTCTAGGAACTCTGACATTGTTCCTGGCTGATTTACTTCTACACTCCTGCTGTTTGTACCGCTACATTCTCGCTGAACGAGGCCATCGCCCTCCTTTGGACTGCCAAGCCGCTGGTCTCCTGCAGGCTTCATCCGTATCCGCCTCCACCCCACCGTCACTTCTCATCACTCCTGATGAAGCACCCAGGATCACTCTTTGAAACTGAGAGTTGCTCTTCATCCTAGACATCAACGACATTCTGTGCTCCTCCTCTCCTCTCCTCCCGTCCTCACACCGAGGCTTTCGTGCACATCCACTGCCAGAACTACCTACGACCTTCATGCACCATAGACTGCACACTAGCCTCAGAATGAAACTTCAAGCTGCTCACTCGGAATTCCTACCTGAACCCCTCACTATCGCCTAAAATTCAACACGCCAAAATGAAACTCAGCAGCTTCACAAAATCGGTTCTTTCTCTCGACTTCCTTCTCTCTCATCTCCTCATTCCCAGAACTCAAGATGATCTCTCTCGTCCCCTATGGCCAATCCTTTGTCTCCTCTCCACAAACTCCACCACTCCCATGTAAGTGCATTTCACTCACTTGGACCGCTGTTAGAATCCTTGGATTTTCATTTCCTATCTGGCCTCCATTCCAAACCTTTCCACATTAGTAACATCAGATCTGATGTAAATGCAGATCTGATCAACTCACTGCTCTAAATGTTCTATACTGGTGATGTGTGAGGTATTTGCATAGCCTTTTATTAAGCTTCCACAAAATACTTATTAATTACAAAAGGAAACATAAATTTCCTGAATTTGATCATTGATGGGTGGCTTTATGAAAGATACCTTTGTTCTTAGGATATACACACTAAAGTATTAAGGGGTAGTATTTTATTTATTTTTTTTAATGTTTATTTATTTTGAGAGAGAGAGAAAGAGCATGAGCAGGGGCGGTGGGGAGAGAGAGAGAGAGACAGAGAGAGAGAGACAGAGAGAGAGAGAGGCAGGCTGAGAGAGAATCCCTAGCAGGCTTCACGCTATCAGTGCAGAGCCCAACATGGGGCTCGATTCCACGAACCATGAGATCGCGACCTGAGCCAAAATCAAGAGTCAGACACTTAACCAACTAAGCCAGGTACCCCAAGGGGTAATATTTTAAACACACATACATACACACAGACAAAGAGAGAAAGTGCCTAAGAATGAACCTGCAAATGTGACGAAATGTTAAAAATCAGTGAAGTTAGGTAAAGGTTATGCTGGAGTTCTTTGAATTTTTCTTGCAAACTTTCTGTACTTTTGAAATCATTTAGAATAAGGGGTTAAGAAAATGTTTCATGTTGCTTTACTGTCTACTTAACTGAGTACAAATCCTTGGTCCAGTGCTCACATAGGACCCTTTGAAATACGGTCTCAGTGGACTTTTATACCTTCCCTCACAAGGACTCCATAAACGAGCTTTGATCAAACTACATATTCCTGGACATTTTCTTGGACTCCGTGAACTTGCTCACGTCCATGTCTAAAATATATTTCCCTCCCCCACCTTCCCATGTACAAAAGTCTGATTTCTTTTTTCCAACACCCATCTTACTTTTCTAGTACTTTCCAAACCCCACTAAATTGGTGTCATCTCTCCCTAGAAATTTAATGAGCCCAGGTAATTAGCAAACCAAGACACAACTGAAATAAATGGAGGAGAGATGATGCGTTCGATTTAAAACGTGTAATATTTCAAAATAACTGTAGAATAGCCTGAAGAAATTCAGAGGTCAAAGGCAGAAGAGAGATTTAGGGGGCATACATCAAGAAAGAGTAATTGAAGCTATAAAATGGGTAAATTATTTCAGAATAAATATGTAAAGAGAGAGTCGACCCAACAACTACTCCTAGGGTAGCGTTGGATATCAAGTGGTAACAGAAGGGACAAATTAAAAAATACACAGAAAATACAGTCAGAAAGGCAGAAAGTGAACCATGTCATAGCTTCCAGGACACTAAAAAAGAAAGACTGAAAGTAGCAGTGAGATAATATTAAATGTGAAAAGTTCAAAGAGAAAATAGAACTAAGAGATATTAACAAACAGAAACACACAAAAAAACAAAAACCGTGGACCATGGAAAGAGTAGTTACAATAGCACTGTTAAGACAGGGCCCAAATGAAGCTTGTTACATTTCAACAAATATTTAATGAGGCCTTACTGGGTTTAAGGAAGGAAACAGGCTGGAATTAGCAATGGTATACACTAAAAGTTGGAGAAGTGAAGATATAAAAGGGGAGGAAACAAAGTCTATCCTTTATAATTATCATATAAATGAATTCTTACCAGAAGATGATAAGAAGATGCATCTTGTGTAATCTGAGTCTACGAACAACACAAAATATATGGGAAAATTCAACTTGGCCTCTAGTCCTGGTTTTCCCATTAATAAATACATATTAGGAAATAAGAGTCATAATACATTTCTAAATGTATTTCTATTAGTTTTTGTAATCTGGTTTAAAATTATAATGCAAAATAATGAACTACAAGGATACTTGTTTATAACAGGCTATTTCTGGAAATGCATAGCATATTATTTTAAATTTCTAAATAATTCTTACAAGATTACTTGATGTTTAGTAGAAGCCCTCCTACTGAGGCACAAGAGACTGACAAGATCAAGGTTATGGCCAGAGCAAAATTAGATGTAATCTAATATGTTTATTAAAGTAACTGGATCTGGATTAACACTTGGAACAATGTCCAGGTTTCTTGCACATTGTTCTGCCTATTCAAACATCTTTTTCTCCCAATAAATCATGGACTACTTTTTCTTCCTAATCCCCCCCATCTGCCTCATTCTTCTCCTTAATTGAACAAATAAAACCGAGTGTCACTAATCTGAACATTGTTTATATGCCACTATAGCAAACGACTTATGCTATTATTGACGCAATATTACACTAACAGTCATGAGTTTCCAGTGTAACATTGCTTACAAAATGGCATTCTATCCCAATTATTATCTTATGAAAATATTCTTCACAAAATTAAATTCTGCAGATTTACTGACCGGTCAAAATAGAAGTTGCCATCGAGTGACTGTAGTTAAGAGCCTACAGAAGCATTCAGCACGGTAACATGTGTATTAGGACAAGCATGTGAAGGAAAGGAAACAACTATTATGATTTATCAATCGATGTGGCATTATCAGTTACATAAATTGTATCCAACTTAATTGTTTGAGAATCCAGAATTTCCAGTGACTTTAATAAATATACTAGATCACATCTAATTTTTCTCTGGCCACAATATCAACTCATTATTTTTTAATATGAAATTTATTGTCAAATTGGTTTCCATACAACACCCAGCGCTCATCCCAACAGGTGCCCTCCTCAATGCCCGTCACCCACCCTCCCCCTCCCTCCCACCCCCCATCAACCCTCAGTTTGTTCTCAGTTTTTAAGAGTCTCTTATGGTTTGCCTCCTTGTTGACGGAGCTTTAGAACATAGTTTAATTTATGAGTTGTTTCCCAGGAATGAAATAATGACATCAAGGCCATAATTCAAGAGCAGTTTTGTCAAAAGCATTAAATTATACTGCAGCATCCATGGAAAGGAAGTGACTATAAGAAGTGACACAGGATGTGTAATTTTATATCGCAGTTAAAATGTTTGTCTTCGTCAATATGGATGAGTTTTGTAATCTCTATTAAAAAGCTGCCATTAGGGGCGCCTGGGTGGCTCAGTCGGTTAAGCCTCCGACTTCTGCTCAGGTCACGATCTCACGGTCTGTGAGTTCGAGCCCCGCGTCGGGCTCTGGGCTGATGGCTCAGAGCCTGGAGCCTGTTTCCGATTCTGTGTCTCCCTCTCTCTCTGCCCCTCCCCCATTCATGCTCTGTCTCTGTCTCAAAAATAAATAAACGTTAAAAAAAAATTTTTTTTTAAAGCTGCCATTAAACCACAGGCAAGTGTGGTCCTTTCGCTCAGTAAATTCTCATCAACATTTACCTTCTGCTCTTCTCTACTCACACCTACATCGGCGGTCTAGTCTATAACTCAGTGCTTTAACATTGTTTGTGCTTTTTAATTACGATGAATAGTTGTAGCCTCATTTCTACAGTTCTGCACACCACATGTGACAATTAGGAAAACTACTAGACTAATGTGACCCAAGGGTGACTAACCTGTTAGGAAAGCCAGTCTTCTTTCATACAATCAACTGTGTTAACTTGCTTTCACTGGATAGTTGTTGGTATTTCAGCCTGAGTCTGTATTTTTCATTTTCTTCAAGCATTCTAGAAATGACTTTGTATACTTTATTCCATACGCGAACCTTAAAAATATAAACACAGTTAAGGAACACCGAGCAGAAAGGTGGAAATACATTTTGACAGAGGCAACTGGCAGTGACTGAACTGTGTTGTGCCTCAACTGAAACCACGCTAAGGCAATTCTAGCGCTTACAGACCTAAAACTTAAATGTGACGGTTTTCCCATGATCAGTGATCTCTTTTGCTAATTTCCTAGCATTCCCTCTCTGTACTATTTAAATGAGCTACCCTGGATGAAGGCAATGCCTATAAGGTCCTATCTAAATGGTTCTAACACATTCAATTTTGTTTTCAATAGTTATGAAAATACTGAATTTCTATTCCACTGGGAAATTACTCGATTTTTAATGGGCAAGTGTTTTACATCTCATCTAGTAATAGCTTCATACACTGGATTATTAAGATTAATGAAAAATATACGTAAAGCACGTACCCCAATGTCTGGCATATTGTAGTTACGAGTAAATATTGGCTATTGCTCTGTTCTCTTCACCCAAGAGGAATTGATTCTTGGAGGAAATATTTCTTAGTATAGTGGGAAGATCAGGTGCACACTCAAATTACATTTGGGGTTAGTCACCTTGAATGCTGTTTTACACTATACATGGATTATAACTCATATAAACTCAAAGCTCAGAAACAATACAATTTGACGTGTCATTATCAACTAACGATTTCTTTAAGCTGAAGTGCTTAAGATCCATGGTGGAAAACAAAGATTCGTAGAGCTACTGATCTCGACTATGTTTAAAACACTCAAGTTGCCATGACATTTGGACAACCAGAGATGAAAATGGTTCAGCAGTAAAGGTTCATCCTCGTTAGCTTTCCTTCTAGAAAGTAAATGTATGTCCCTTGTCTTTAAAAGAGCAATATGTCATTAATACAGATACATTATTCTTTTCTGTGAAATCCATGATTTTCTCCTTATATTACACTACCTATCAGAGTTTGTTATATTCTGTGGAACATATATTTTTATGCTTTGAAAAATCTCCCATTATGTTTTGATTAAAATGTGTTCATATCTTCAAACACAGGAAGGACTGTTCTCTATAGTTAATAAATATTTCCAAACCCAGTTCTATTTCTGCTAAATTAATTCTATTTTCTCATTTCAGTAAATTAAATTTTCAAAAGATGGAACTGTTTTTACTGTTGAATATCTTCACACATTTGTATTTAGAGAAGTTAATCTAAAATTCAAATATTGCTCATTCTCCTTTATAATAATATACCTTTTTCTTTTTCTTCATTACTTTCGAAGCTTCATTCAAAGGTATAGGGAAATCAAACTGTTTAGCTAAATTCTTCTGGGTTAAACCTAATTTTAAAAAAAGAGAGAGTGAAAGGTAAAATATCAAGGCCAGCGCTTATTTTAAAGGATTCACTATCCTGAGAACAAAGACAATTATAAATGTCTCCTGAGCTCTCTTTGGGGATTTTTACACTCGTTGGTGTATTTCTGATCACAAGATGCTACCAGTTTACCAAGTAGCTAATATTATGCTGGGGGAGAAAACCAAGAAAACTAGAGACAAACTCCCTTAGAAATATCTAGAAATCCCTTAGAAATCTCCTTTCTTTTTTGATTTGAAAGGTGAGTCCCAAAAAAATCAGCAATAGAATAAACAAATACCAGAGGCCACATCTTAACCCAATGCATCTCCAAACTCTCCTTTCTTCTCCGTTCAACTCCAGACACACATTATGCTTTCAACTATTCAAAATGCCTGTGGTTCTTCAAATGTTTTGCTCTTACCCTTCCTAGCCTTTGCACACGCTGTTCTATCTGGCTAAAACACTCTGTGTGCATGCATGTGTATACACACACACACACACACACATAACCTACCAGGCAAATTTCTACCTGCTCTTCAAGACCCAGGTCACACTGTCACCTCCTCTCTACAGTCCCCTGAACAGCACTGGCTCTAGGAATGCTTAGGTCAGAGCACTTAGCACACTTTTATTTTATTTTTTTTTAATGTTTTTATTTATTTTGGAGACAGAGAGAGACAGATTATGAGCAGGGGAGGGGCAGAGAGAGAGGGAGACACAGAATCTGAAGCAGGCTCCAGGCTCTGAGCTGTCAGCACAGAGCCCAACTTGGGGCTCGAACCCACAGACCGGGAGATCATGACCTGAGCCGAAGTCGGACGCTTAACCGACTGAGCCATCCAGGCGCCCCCTTAGCACACTTTTATATCACATGTTTATAATGTGTTTCCTCCACTAGGCTGTGACCGGGATCCCAGAGGGTAATAACTATGTGGGTCTTAGTCATCTTTCTAGCCACACTACCAGACACACAGTAGGTACTAATAAAGGTTTGTCAGGAATGAATAAGCTTCCTCTCTCTACTCACCAGACCATGCTGCCTTCCCAAATATTAACTGTGAGAAGAAAACCCAAGGGCTTGTGTGTCCAAAGACAAAATCAGAAAACACTAAGCATGTGTTCCCTGAAAGCCTTTATATTCCCCTACCCAAACACTTACCCACCTTATTCCTACCCTGCCATCACCACTCTATACCTGGCTTTCTTCCACTCATTCAATATTTAGCTTTCCAGGAACCTTCTCTGATTTCACAAAGCACCCTATATGCTCAGTAATCATAACGTTTACCATGTTGTTTTATTCTTTATTAGAGATCCAATATCTAATACCATACACATTAGAAATGCAGTAAGCATTCCATTTGTTAGCGAATTAGAGTATGTTCTAAAATGGCATTGCCCAATTTCTTAGAAGCACACCACGAATTCCGTGTGGGGCACACACACAGCACTAAAGAACATTGACTCACACAGTGGGAAACTCATTCTCTCCCATTCTTTTTCATTCTGATTACATCAAGGAGAAAGTTTGGAAGTAGTATGTCATTAAGACTTCCCTGAGACTTGCTCCTCTCTCTTTATGACCACAGACCACCTTTATTAGACAAGCTATTTGGCTAGAATTTAATAATATTGTTGTTCCTTTATTAGATTGCTTTTAATTAATTTCTATTTGTGGCAAATGGTACAGGCTTGCCGCCGAGGTAATGATGCAACGTGTTCTAAAAAGAAAATTTAGTCGAGAGGGGAAAATGCACATATTAAGTAAATACATTAAGCAAATGATAGTACAGATGAAATGCAGATAGGGCATAGGAAAAGAACTCAAGTCTGGGAAATCTCTGTTCTTCATTTACCCATATGGACCCTTCTCCCCTAAATGCCTAAGCCTTTGGAATGCTATACTTGCATCATTCCAAATGTTTTCCATTTGTAAGCCTTTCCTAACCTACACATTACTCCCCAGGGTCAGGATAGGAGCCATCAAGTCGGCCTGTAATTATCGGGGATCTAAAACGTGTCAAGGAGTATAGGGGATGCGAAAAAGAGAAAGGACGAAAATCATTTCTTCTGTTTTGCATACTTCACTGAAGGTAGCTCCAGTACATACCAAAGACTTTGTCCCAACTCGTGTTTCCAAGCTTCCTCTAGCCTTCTTTCTGCACAGTTTCTATACACTCAAAATATGCTTCTAGTTCTTCCCTCATCACTCTCCATCATGGATCCATTCCCAGGGATATGCTCACACATTTTTCCCACATATAATTCCTTCCTAGCTCAGCAACATGTGGGACTCTCGTGGAGTTTCTGCCACTGTGAAGTCTTCCCTAATTCTCTCATCTTCAAATTACTCACCACTCCGAAAGCATTTACTTGTACCTCCAGAATAGTATTTGTCATCCCCTATGATATATCAATTATGAATATATCTCCCAAGTTCTGTGAGAACTAACTTATCAGTCTTGCCTGAAATGTTAGAAGAGTTTCCTGATTTGCCTGTCCCTGGATTTCTAAACTCCACTGCATCTTACAAACAGCCGAAGATAAATTTCTTTATCTTCCAGAAGTGTAACTGTCTCTGATAGCTTCACTCCACCATTCAAAAATCTTCAGTGACTATAAAATGATTGTCTCCAAGGCATTCCACAATATGGTCCAAAACTTGCTTTTCATTCGTTCTACAAATATTTAGTCCATTCTCACTATATACCACTCACTGGAATAACCACCCCCTTCCCTTCAAGCCATCTCTGTTCAGTAAGCCAACATTCACTGGTCATTTATTCCATATCAAACACTGGGCTGGGCCCTATGCATACATTACATACTGCATTTAGTCGTTATAGTGACTTATTAAGGTAGGAAGTATTATCCCCATTTTACATAGAAGGAAACTGAGGATCAGAGTGGTTAACTAACTTGGCCAATATCACACTGCTAATAAATGACAGAGCCAAGATTATGTCTTTCTGACTTCAAAGCCAATACCCTTGATAATTTCTACCATCCCACTAGGAATTTCTCCATTCATGTCCCTTGATTTCCTGCCTTTATGCCTCTCCTTTCCCTAAACTATCAAAGCCTTTTGAAGGGGTCCATCTTACAGCATACATGTCTACTAGCTTATATTCACATTATTCATTTAGAAGTTCCTTACGAGTGGAAGATTTGTCTGATCCATCTATGTCACGAGCACCTAATCTAGTGTCCACAGTGGGGGACACGTTCATGTTGTTGAACAAATAATTCAGCTGGTTTCCCAAGAAGAGCTAGGCATAAGCATTTAATAAATGTCCCTGTAATATTAATATTAAATCCACCCAAAACTGAGTAAAACTTAAGCACTTTCTGGCTTGGTTTAAATATAAATCTATGCCAGGACCTCTCTCCCTTAACTCTATTCCTGGTGGCCCAAGCACAGCAGGGGGGGCTCTGAAGTTAAGGGCTCCATCCTCTGCCCAGCTGCCTAGCACAGAAACTTCAGAGTTGGCATGAACCCTTCCTTCTCCATCTTTCCGTCAGTCATTGGTCCTGTGTGCCAGCTCCATTGCTCTGCCTTAGGTCAGGCCTTTCATCTCTGTACTGGGCCACTGTGCCCCCTACCAGGGCTGTAGACTCCAGTGTCTCCCAGCCAACCCCATCGTAGTTGTCCTTCTTCCAGATCTGATCCTGTCACCCCTGCCACAAAGGAGCAGCAAAAATCCCAAAAGAGAAACCAACTAGAGGAAAGACGGACACCTTAGGTCTGCACAGGGTAAAGTTACAACAGCGCAACGCTGCTTTCATAATGCTGCCTACCCAGTTACTTCTAACCGACATAGGTGGGGATCTCCAGCACGAATTCATGTACCCCCTCCCTTCTCCCCACCAGCTTCTTCACCTGCTTTCAGTGTTCTTCACTTCCAATCCACTACCTTGCTGAGGGACTATTATTTGTCCTCGCCATTTGTGGCCCTAAAGCAATACAGGCTTTCTATTGAATCCATTGTATTTGTCCTGGTTTCCTGCCAAAGCTGTAGAGCTCCCCCCCCACCACCACCACCATACTCTTTCCTCTTAGAACAGGACTTTCATTTGTTTCTATTATTCAAAGAAGCTGGGAACCCAGGGCTAAAATGTTTTATACTACCCCTGGATTTTTTAATCCCCAGCAGAGGGGCCAGGAAAAAAAACACCCAAAAACAAAAACCTGAGTGCCTTTTAACAATGAGGCCATCAGAAGGGCTTGAAGTCCAAAATAATGACCCTGCTTAAGTATCTCTGAAGGCTTCCCACCACAGCTCATTCTCAGGAGTCAATCAAATTATACAGAGTACCATTTTATACATCTAAATTATCACAGCAAATTTAATCTGGAAGGATACCACACAAATATAGATTATAGAATGTAGATTATAGAATATACAGAATATAGATTATTCAACTTGGGCTTCAGTCTTGCCTACCTCCAATTCAATCTCCCTTATATAGATAGCAATGGCCTAAATTAATCCAACCTTATCACTTCTCTTGTTCAAAACCTTTCAGTTTAGGATTTCAGAGTCACTGAAGACAATGGGGAAGGCGTGGTAACTGACTTCCCAAAATTTCACCCCAAACAACTTCAGCTTTTGAAAATTCTACATAAAACCATGCCCTCAGCATTACTTGAAGACACAGAACACTGAAACTGCAAAATAACTGTAAGTAAAATAAGAAAAATCATTGAATCGCAGAGCTATGATCCCATGTGCTGGGGGGGGGGGGGGGGGGGGGGGGGGGGGCTTTGCAGCCAGCAGGGGAGCCAAAGGAAGGACACTAGAAAAAGTGCCTGCAGGAGAGCTGGAAA